ATTGGGTTTGTGACCATGGCCAAAAAAAGGTTGAGGGTGGCTGTCCTTCCTAGAGCTACAGAGTTTTCTTTGTTTGGATGGGGAGATGTGCTATAAATACATTAGTAAAGATATTGAAAGGAACTGTTGCCAGCCTAACCTCCTGAGGGAGAGCGTTCCATAACCAGGGATGCTCTCATGTCCCCATCAACTGTGCCTGTGCTGGTGAGAGGAAGGGCTACTCTGACCATCTTGAACACTGAGAAGGCTCATGTGAGGCGATAGTGCTTCAGAGACCCTGGACCCAAGATATATAGAACACCTTGGGACCAGAAATGGACCAGTAGCCAGAGCAGTTGTTGTAGCAGGGGCATTATACAATATGCTCCCTATAACTGGCCCCAGTCAGCAGTCTGGCTGCTGCATTTTGAAGAAGCTGAGGTTTCTAAACCATCTTCAAAGGCATCCCCATCTAGAGCATGTTACAATAATCCGAGCAGGATGTAATGAAGCTAAATCAGACATCTCAAGGTGCAGCTGCCAGACCAGTTTTACTTTGTTTACCTGCAACTATCTATCTGTCTGCCCATCTGTCTCCCTTTCTCTCTCTCTTTATCACTGCTTCTCTCCCTTACCCTTATATTCATAGAATCAAGTAGGATCAAGTGGGTTTATATACCAAATCTTGTTTCATTGTCAAGGACTAACATGGCTACCTCTCTGGATGTATCTCCACTATCATCTTAGTAGAAATCCACAACATTTTTCTTCACCTCCTTTCCTCTCTGCATTCTTTTGAAGTCCTGAAAACTTGATGTGAAGGAGGGGCTGTAGAAGGCATGACCCATTGATTCGACTGATGGAAGCAGTTCCTTCTGTTTATGTGTCTGTCTATCGATCTGTCTGCATGCATTGTCAAGCAGAATCAAACATATAAATATATCAAAATGCCAATATTAGTGCAGTGGTTCCTAACCTTGGTGTTCTTGGACAGCATCTTCCAGAACCCCCAGCCAGAGCAGCAAGCAGTGAAGGCTTCTGAGAATTGCAGTCCAAGAACACCTCAATTACACAAGGTTGGGAACCACTGCCTTAATGGATGCCTATTAGTAAGACAGCATTTCCTCCCCCTCCTCTTCCTAGCCATCAATAGGTGTGGAGAACTTCTGTCCATCTGTTATTGTTTTTTTGGTCATATTTAGATTACTTTGCCTGTGTGTGATAGTATCCAGAATTTTTTTAGAATGCAGAGTTGCTTAGTCTTTTCATGTCATATGTGTGTGTATGTATGTAGCAAATGATAATTTATCACCCTTTCATATACGCATGGCTAATTATAATTAATATGGATTAATCTGTAATGTTGTTAAACTTTAACATATATGGGCCAAAATCCTGTTGGTTAGCATAACAAATTGCACATGAGTAAGCCCATTAAGTCAGTGGGGATTTGGTGGATCACCTCCTTCATAAATTCTATTGATTTAATGAGACTACTCTAATTATGACATACTTTAGTATAGTAAGTCACAATTAGAGTAGGTCTATTTGAATCCATGGAACCTGTAGAGGAAGTGACTCACCAAATCCCTATTGATTTAATAGGCCTATTCTACTGTGATTTACTCTGCTAAGCAACAGGATTTGGGCCATGGTTTCAAGCTCAAGATATTTTTACACATATTTTTCTTAACTGTGCAGGAAGTTCAAGTTTGATGGTCCCACTTCAGGAGTTGATTACTTCTTTAAAATTGTTACTACCAATAAATTAAAGAAGAGTCTCCCTACCATTCTGAGACTTAGCACTTGTAAGTTTATTTTATCCATTATAAATTATAAGATCAATTATGACACAATAATGAAAGGGCATTACATTATTTTAACAGCTGGGGACAGGGGAAATGCCTGCAAGACCTCATGGTTCATATGCTAGCATAATTTGGCTGACATCTGGTGTTCTGTATCTTTACTAGGGCTTTGGGACACCATTATTTGTTCCAGAATGTTTGCAAAAATGCCTTAGTCCAGCTCCATTCATAAGAGAGCAGTCTAGAGAAGCAGCAAAACCATGAAAAGCAGAGGTCTCAAACATGCGGCCTGGGAGCCATTTGCAGCCTGCAGGATGATAGTTTGTGCCCCCCGCCTTGCCTGCCCCCCAAAGCGCCCACATGTCCTCCTCTGCTCTCAAGAGTAAAAAAAGCGCCTCGCCTCGCTCACCGGCTCTCCCTCTCTCGCTTGTCTGCCGGCTGGCAGGCTGCAGTTCCGGATGGAGGGTGCAAGAGGCGCTATCTTAGGGCTGAGCCGTGAGTGAGGCGCACTGCTGGCCCTTTTTCCCAAGCGCCTGAGCTACCACCAAGCGATGCCTGAGAGCAAAGCTCACTCCCAACCCAGCCTCGAAGAGTGCCTCCAAGCTGCCAACAGCAATTGCTGCCGCCGCCTCTTCCAGGGAAGCGGCTCTGTGGCTCTCTTTCTCTCTCGGCACTCCCAGCACCAGTCTGGCCAACGGCCGCCTTAGCACCCAGCAGTGCTTCCTCCTCCTCCTCCTCTTCCTCCTGCTTCAGCAGCCTCGGCTCTGGAGGCTGCCTGGGCTC